AGAGCAGAGGAGGAAGGACGGGGTGGAAAACAGAACATCACAGCACAGAGCCGAAAGCTCCTCTCCGACTCGGAGCTCCTTTGGAAGCAGCATGAGCTCCATCCAGAGAGCTAGGTGAGAACTGCACGTGAAGACAGAGGAGTCACCTAACCCTGTTAAAATCTTTCTTTGCAAGACTGGCTGGTTTAAATCCATGTTTCGATCACAGAAAGAGAAGAACGGAGGGAGGCGAGAAGGAAATTATTCGATGTTATCTCATTATATTGTTTTGTTAGAGAGGGAAAGTCAAACTTAAACTCCAAAGTACACAAGAGCTAAAAGGGTGATTCTCAGAAATCGAGGCTGCAAGACAATTGTTCCTTGTGTCACATGGACTAGTTGATTTGATCCTTTTAATATGGTTTGGGCTCATCAAATTAGTAGTGTCCCCTCTGAGTAACTTAAAACAACAGAACAGACACAGAGTCACAGAGAAATGTTTCAGTGATTAGATGGAGCTGACAGTCTGCCTAAAGCAAAATTCAAGCATCGATTCTACCAGAGGGCCTTTTGTAAGTCCTTCAGAGGTCGATGGTCCCTTTGATTGCAAAGCATCAGGCTGACAGCAAGGTATACAAGTTTGACCTCAGCCAAGTGCACAAGGAAGGTGGGCATCAGTCAGACAACAGGCAGCAAAAAATAAGCAAAACAGGGAGTATCCAAATCACGGAGAGGATTTGCAGTTAATTCTCTTTAAAGCCTGCTGAGTCATTTGCATTACAGTGTTGTCATCTAAAGATATAATCACCTTAAGGAACCAATAGTAGTCTAAGATGAGATGCTTTTCTAGGAAGATGTTTTTCTAGGAAGGCTCTCCATGCTCACAGTCCAGACATCCAGACCCCACATTGACCTTATTCCTCTTTCAGGAAATGAGTAAAAATTTTGCTAATGACCCAAATATGCCTGAAGTTAATGAAAAGGCTAATGACAAATTAAATGGAACACAAGTAGGCCTAGTAAACAAAAACCACCAGGTTTTTACAGTTCCTTTCTTTCCAGAGCATTCAAAGAATTCAAGAATGCAATGAGATTAAAAATATGGAGGAAAAGCAGAATATGTGGGTCACAGTCATTTCCAAGCAGCATATGGTTATGCCATAGAACTTCAGGCAGGAGCTCTCCCCTGAATTATTATAAAGGACAATGTCACAGGTGCTGCTTCCTAATGTCTAGTCTAAACTTCCCCTGGCACGGCTTTGAACCATTCTTACGTGTCCTGTCACTGGATCCCGGGAAGAAGAGCTCAGCACCTCCCTCTCCATTTCCCCTCCTCAGGAAGCTGCAGAGAGCAATGAAGCCACCCCTCAGCCTCCTTTTCTCCAAACTAGACAAGCCCAAAGTCCTTAGAAGCTTCTCATAGGACATGCCTTCCAGCCCTTTTTCACCACCTTGTTGTCCTCCTCTGGACGTGTTCAATGACCTTCACATCCGTCTTAAACTGTAGGGCCCAGAACTGCACACAGTACTCCAGGTGAGGCCACACCAATGCTGAACATAGTGTGATAATCCCTTCTTTTGACCAGCTGGTTATGCAGGGTTTGATGCATCCCAGGATGCGGTTTGCCCTCCTGGCTGCCAGGGCACACTGCTGACTTCTGTTGAGCCTGCTGCCCACCAGCACCCCAGATCCCTTTCTGCAGGGCTGCTCTCCAGCCACTTCTCTCCCCATTCACACTTCTGCCCGGCGTTACTCCATTCCCAGGTGAAGAATCTGACATTTGGACTTCTTAAATTTCATCCCATTAATCATTGACCAATGGTCCAGCCTATCTAGATCCTTCTGCAAGACCTCTTGTCCCTTCAAACAGTTGACAGCACCTCCCAGTTCAGTGTTTTCAGCAAACTTGCTAATGGTGCATTCAACTCCCACATCCAGATCATTGATAAAAATATCGAACAGAACTGGCCCTAGAATTGAACCCTGAGGAACACCGCTGATGACTGGTCACCAGCCAGATGTAGCCCCATTCACTACAACCCTTTGAACCCTGCCATTTGGCCAGTTCTTCACTGAGTGCACCATGTACCTACTCATCTCACGCTTGGACAACTTGTTCAGAAGGATGCTGTGAGGGACAGTATAGAATCATAGAATAGGATTATAGTATCCAAAGCCTTACTAAAATCCGGAAAAACTACATCCACCACCTTCCTTTTGTCCACTAGGCAGGTGACCTTATCATAGAAGGATAGCAGATTAATAATGAAGTAGGTGCCATCTTTTGTTCCGGAAATAGAAACAAGCAGAATATGCTCACACAGGACTGAGATTTGTTTACAAAAAAGAACGTCTTACCCTAATAAAAAAAAAAAAAAAATCCATGGAGCTGTTCTCCACAGAGAACTAGAACAGTTGTTTTATGTGTTATTGGGCTCAGCCCAACAATAATTGGCTAAAACACCACACTTTGCCTATACAGAAGATCAAAGCTGAGAGTCCTTTCTGGCTTTTGTCTGAAAGAAGGTACCTTCAGCCTCCCACTGCTCCCTGTCATAACACTAGTGTCTATTTTGGCAGTGGTCCGAAAAGAAGAGTAAACCTGAGAAGAGCCCCAGGATGATACAACTTGCTCTTCAATTCAAGAAGAAACTAAGCTCTTTCCTAAATTGTGAAATCCACAGCACTTGCACTATCCTCACAGATGCAACACTTGTTGACAAAGAAATGTCACTTTTACAGATCTATATAATAAAGAAATATTGGTGGTTATATTTATTTATTTTTTTTTTACACAACCAAATGATCCCTACTTCAAAATTCCTGTTGTCTGTGCTACTTTAATAAAGTGTAATTATTAAAAAAAGTGACAGCATAATGTGCTGGGCTCATGAGATTTAGTTGGAACAGAGTAACAGATTTTGAAGGTTCTGTTGTATTATAAATCTTAGATTTCCCCAGGGAATTATCTGACCATACATGTAATGAGTCTATTTCTTGAATTAAAAACATGCCCATTCAAATGTCTCAGGACAAATCCAACATCTATCATTACCAACAAATAGCATTTAATAAACACAGACAAACTCCGTGTCTGGAAATCTACCAAAATGTCTCTCTAGACCCTTTCCTTCTAGCCAAGCAGCCATTTCTGTGAATCTGAACTTAAACTTAGAGTCATAAGTCCTACCGCATAGTTGTTGCTGCAATTTCTAACTGATTACATAACGCTTGTGTCTTACAAGCTTGACCTTGTTCCTATGTCAGTAAACTTTAAAATTGTTGTTCAAGTCAGTGAGAATGGATTTAAGCCATTTGCTATTTGTAGTACTATGGCTTGTAGTATTATTTTTATTGTACCACTTGAATTTAGTTTGTCATGCATTGTTCGACCCAGACTCACCCCATTAACTTCAGAAACTTTAGGAGATACCTAAATTGCAAGCAAAGTGCCATAAGCTTCCTAAATGTGTCAAGAGAGGGAAACAGGAACCGCTACTTACAAAAGATCTAACCTACTTTCTGAACAAAACTTTCCCTAATTTGGGAAAGGGAGAGCTTTTTAGGGAGTTTATTAGTCTGCGGCAATGCTTGTATTGTTTCTCTGCTGAAAGGCAGGTACCAAATTTTGAACAAAATTGTTAAGCTGATTGTTTGCTAGAAAAATCAACATCAGATTTGCATATACCTGTAAAGGTATATAGAAATATCTCTGTTAAGGAAATAATCAGAAAATCTTCCTGCTCTTATTTTGTACCAAATTTGTCAAATATCTAAATTACAAACCATTATATTTCTAAGGGTATTTCTAGTAAAAAAACCAAGCGTAACAGCCATTAAGAAGTAATAACTGCAGTCCATTTACCATCAGGTTAGCAGGAAATAAATGGTATCTTACTGTTGTTCTCTTGCTACAGAGTTTATTGGTGCATTTATGCAGCTCTATTTCATTTGCACATCTGTGAAGAGCACTGCCGTATAAAATGTAAATGGGCTGCATATGGAATTTAAAACTTTCCAATGATAAAATGTCTCAACAGCCTTTTCATCAGAATTACCAAAACACTTTGAAGTCCGTGTTTGTTTTTAAATCAAAACACCTCTATTTTTATTCAAGCACAGAGAGCAGGAACAGTTCAGCTGCACTTGCATGTCAGTTTATTCAAAGAGGGTATTTATTAATTCACTGATATCCCATTGCCTCAACAAATAAGGACACAGTCCTACACATTGCCCTCCACTCTTTTTTGTTTACGCCTCTTCCAACTGCTGCTCTGGGGGCAGAGCTCTTAATTTTGGACAAGCTGCCTTTCCACGTATCACATGCTTGTATCAAACGTGGGAATAGGGTGAAAAGGGAGCTCTGAGTACCTCCTCCTCCTGCCTTCACCTTTACCTCCTGCATTTTATTTTCACTCCATTTGAAAGTAATCAGGACCAGTAACGTCATCTTTGATAATAACGTTTCATAACTGGCATTACTCTGCCGGGAGATGGGTGTTTAGCTGGGATGGTCATTGCACTCCTGGAAGATGGCTTTCAAGGTAGGCTTCCCACCATGACATTAGAGAAGGTATGAGACCTGGACTATTCTCATATACCCGTCTAGGCTGTTTCCTCCATCTTCACACCAAACACCCTCAGCTGTCCCAGATGTTTTAGATACTGTTTTCTGTTTGTAGGCTGGTGTGCCCCTGACATCCCAATCAAGATGAAGACTTTGTGAAGAGAAGACACTGTACAGGCAAATCTGAAATGAACTCACAGTCTACATCAGTCAGAGCCAGACGGGGAAAGATGAAGGCAATGGAAGAACAAGGTAACAAAAATAACTTCAGCAAAGAAGCAGAAGCTCAGACGGCTCAGCTCCTAGCAAAATAAATGTGACACATGTCCCTTCAGAAACAAAACGATGGATAATTAACTGGAACTGCAAGTACACTCCATGACATTCTGTTCTCACTCAAGTCAAATCTTCACTGTAACAGGATTTTACCCATTCAACATTTATATTTGTTACCTTCTCATAAGCTTTTCTTTTCGTTTCAGAGTCCATCCAGTCATTTTCCTTTTCCAACATGTCAATAAAAGCCCAGCGAATTCCTTCAGTCAACTCCTCCATCTGCAAAACATTTAGCAAACCCCTCCCCAGTAAAATATGTCATGGAATAATCATTATAAGAAAAGTTTTGGTGCGTGCAGGAGCAATGGATTTGGTTAGACAATGAATGATTCCAAATCAGACAGTATCTGCTGTTCTTTCTTGAAGGCTGATTTTTTTTTTCTCCAGTCCTTGGGAACTTCTGAAAATAAGTTTCTTTCCATTTTCTTTTCCTTCAGGTGTACCACACAACTTGTTCGTTGATGATCCTTTCATGTCACAATTGTGAGAATGTCTGTCTTGGAATCATAAAAATACCTGGGAGATCTGCAGTGATTTGGGGAGATTTCTGACACTTTCGGTCTAGATCGCTAGTCCATGCAGAAGAAGGAGCCAACTGCAAAGCATTTGCACAAATAAAGCCTTTTCTGCAGAGAGAGCATCTGTAGCATCGTTTGGTTTATGTCAGACTGAGACATGCCCTATTAATACTGCCAAAGGACTGAATTCGGGCTGACAGCATCGTGATCCAAATACAAAGCAGCATCCAAATACTTAGTCTGTATTTAGCTGTATTTGTGAAGTACTCCTAACATTTCCTTACTGCAGGGATAGAGGCCACGGCTCACAACACGGAGCAGCCTTAACTGCTTCTGTGGTCTTGAACCACCAGTGACAGCTTGCATCTGTGCAAAGTTGGGAAAAACCACAACCATTCTAGCTTGGCTGCTTCTTCAGACACCTATACAAAGCCATGAGCATATCACAAGCAAGTAAAAAAGAATATAATAAAGGAATGCTTGGTGAGCGTGCACATTAAGAAAACCCTGAAATGACAGAAAACCCTGAAATAATGGAAAACAGGAAATCTAATGGCTGAGAGATGCATCATATCAGTCTAAAGAGCAGAAATGTCCTCGTGACTACGCATCCAACTGGCAGCACAGACCAGAAGGTTGCATGCAATTACCTCCTTCTGTTTATATCAATAGGTGAACCTCATGACAGATAGCCACTGAGAATACTGTGAGAGTGGGGCAATTCGGGGGATCCAGCCATTGCTGGAGTCCTTTAGCACAGACCAAACCAGAGTTGAGATAGCACAAGACACGACAGATAATCATTACATGAAGACTTACTGGATCTTTGTGTTATCGGTTATGTTACATTTAAAAATAATGAAAATGTCAAGTACTGGAGATTTATGTAATTTTATTCTATAGATCTGGTAGCTCTGAAATGTCATTAAAAGTGGGGACTAAGCCCTGGAAAGTAAGGTTATCTTTAGCTAAATTGCCATTTATGTATCAGATGTATATTTTAATCTGAAACTGTTCTTTACTTGTGGCGGAGCCAGACAAAACATAGCAAAGCTCCTTTGATTATTCATTTTTTTCTACCCTTTTCAAAAAACATTTTCTTATTTTTTAGAGACAATACAGAACAACTGGAACAGGTCTAGCATTAAATATGACTAAAGAGTCAACATTCACAGTAAATTGCATCCCAGGGAATAGGGTAACTTAAAGATATTGATGACAGAGCACCGACTCAATTAACTTGGTGCACTAATGAGGTGAACTCCCTGTATTTGGAGGTTACAAGTTCAAACTCAAGCTCTGCAGCTGGACCCTGGTGTATACTTAGGCTTTATGCACCAGCTGTAGTTGCAGGGGGCAGGGGGAGAAATCTATTCCTGCTATCAAAGTTATTACTGAAACTGCTCAGGCATAGCTCTAAGAAACACTGCAGGCACTCTGGGTTAGAAACAGTGCTATATTTAGACACAAATAACGTCTTTCTTGATAAAAGGAGAGAAGTATCTAAGGTATGAAACATCAGTGACAAAACATGGGGGGGAAAGAATCCATATTATCCATAACTCAGGATTTGCTTATCATAGACAGATATATGCTATGAGCCAGGATAAAAAAAAAAGGAATCTGTACAAATAAGAGTGCTTTTCTCAAGTGCTTTCTTACTGCTTAAGAAAGAAAAATAGAACTGAAACCATTGAAATGAAAGTGATAAAACTACAAATGACTAACTTGAAAAGCACACTTCTAAATGGATTGCAAAAAATTTCACCTGCATCTAATTTTAATCTCCATGGGCAGTTCACTATAAGTCTGAATCTTGTGATCTATACTATAAATTTTATATGCATTTCTTACTACAGATGATGCTGTGAATTCAGATAATTTTTCAAAGACTTGGTCTGAAAGGAATTTGCGTGCTAAGAAATATTTTAATTAGGTCACATTTCAACAGAAAACAGTTCTTCACTCTATCACCTTCTCATAATTTTCCCTCACTTATACAAACATGAAATAATATTCATCCCCTCCATAAAGTGTACATTACTTATAGTCGTTCTCTTCCCACTTATCCTGTGTGGAGGTCATACTGTTTAATATACCAGAAATATTTTTGCCACTAAACTGCCAAACAGCACATTACAAACTTGATCAAGAATCGGGGAACTGAAAAGCTGGATCTCAGAAAGGACACTTCAGCTGAAGCCAAGTAGCAAAAGCAATGCAGAACCTGAGAGGGAAACACACATCATAAAGATTTGGACAAGCCAAATCAGAGCGTTGGTCTGTCTAAAATGGAGTCCTTCCCTGAGAAAACAGTCAAACTAGATGAAGTCAAACAGATGTACTCAGGCTACCGAGCCAGGGCTGTGCAGGACTATCAGAGAGCTGTTGGTCCCAGGGCAGGATGCTATTTCACGTTTCCTAAATGGTTGTGCCTCTCCTGCACTGAGAGCTAAGTTCAATGACTAAATTAGTTAATTTTAAACTGCTTACTGTTGGAAAATCAATGACTGGAAAAGCAGCTACCAGAAAACCCTATTAAAAAATGAACTGAAAATAAGTCATAAAGTATTGTGAAGGGTAATTAATCATTTGAATATATTATTAAAGGAAGTGATAATGTAGCTATGTTTAAAGTTTTAAAATGAGAATGAACATCCAGCTAAAAGCTATTCTCTGGACTCAGCAGCATGCAAGAATAATGTCCTTCACTGTTGGGCAATAAAGATTCAAATCACTAATATAAACTCTCACTATGTGGCTCTAAGCGTCCCTTAATTTGGGCCAGACATCAGTTACATTTCTCTTGCTTAGACTACAGGTGTAGCACAGTCAGCTTTAAAAGGGTAGCCCTGAAGCAGAGAGATCTTGACCAGTTTTTTAACTAGTCAGCAAGAACTTGAATGAATGAATGAATGAATGGACAGTGAGGTGGATTGAGAACTGGCTTACAGATAGAGCTCAGAGGGTTGTGGTTAGTGGCGCAGAGTCTAGTTGGAGGTTAGTAACAAGTGGTGTCCCTCAGGGGTCAGTACTGGGTCCAGTTTTGTTCAACATATTCATCAATGATCTGGATGAAGGGATAGAGTGTACCATCAGCAAGTTTGCTGATGACACAAAACTGGGAGGAGTGGCTGACACGCCAGAAGGCTGTGCCGCCATACAGCGAGACCTCGCCAGGCTGGAGAGTTGGGCAGAAAGAAACCTTATGAAGTTCAACAAGGGTAAGTGTAGGGTACTGCACCTGGGGAGGAATAACCCCATGCACCAGTACAGGTTGGGGGCTGACCTCCTGGAGAGCAGCTCTGTGGAGAGGGACCTGGGAGTCCTGCTGGACAACAGGATGACCATGAGCCAGCAATGTGCCCTAGGAATAACCCCATGCATCAGTACAGGTTGGGGGCTGACCTCTTGGAGAGCAGCTCTGTGGAGAGGGACCTGGGAGTCCTGGTGGACAACAGGATGACCATGAGCCAGCAATGTGCCCTGGCGGCCAAGAAGGCGAATGGCATCCTGGGGTGCATCAAGAAGAGTGTGGCCAGCAGGTCGAGGGAGGTCATCCTCCCCCTCTACTCTGCCCTGGTGAGACCGCATCTGGAGTACTGTGTCCAGTTCTGGGCTCCCCAGTTCAAGAAAGACAGGGAACTGCTGGAGAGGGTCCAGCAAAGGGCAACAAAGATGATTAGGGGACTGGAGCACCTTTCTTATGAGGAAAGGCTGAGGGACTTGGGTCTCTTTAGTCTAGAGAAAAGAAGATTGAGGGGGGATCTTATTAATACATACAAATACTTAATGGGAGGATGCCAGGGGGATGGGAGTAGTCTTTTTTCAGTGGCGCCCAGTGATAGGACGAGGGGTAATGGGCATAAACTTGAACATAGGAAGTTCCATCTTAACATGAGAAGGAACTTCTTTACTTTGAGGGTAGTGGAGCACTGGAACAGGCTGCCCAGAGAGGTGGTGGAGTCTCCCACTCTGGAGACATTCAAAACCCGCCTGGACGCTGTCCTGTGTAACGTGCTGTAGGTGACCCTGCTCTGGCAGGAGGGTTGGACTAGATGATCTCCAGAGGTCCCTTCCAACCCTAACAATTCTGTGAATTCTGTGAACTTTACTATAAAGAGTTACACTAGCTATACTATACCATTTCTCATCAATACCCCTTGCTTTGTGCCTGTACAGGCTGGCTGTCATTATTTACACACATTAATGGTGTTCAGCCTGTTTTTGATCTCGCTACATAGTTGTCTGAAGGGCTTCATATGGAAGGAACGGGCAGTGCCCGTATGGACAGAAGGATGACATTTCTTAAAATTTGTTCCATTTTCTCCTTGTCGTTTTTATTATTATTCAATGAAAGCATTTTTAAGAATCTCATATTTTTTAAAAACTTTGGTCTAACGTCAGAAACAATTTGTGAGGAGGAAGCCACTAATTTAAAGTTTCTAGGCAGAGATCTCAGGGGACTCACCATCTCTTTCTTGTCTTCTTGAAAATGGGCATTCACAAACATCTTACCCACAACGTAAGGGAGTGCGCTTTCAACGAGGTCCACACATTTATCCCACTGAGGCAGCAAAGTTGTGGTTCCATGGATCACCTGTTGGCAGGTACATGTAGTAGGTCATAACTTCATACTGTTTAAGAGGAACAAGTCTATATCCACATACAGTATAGTCTAAAGCATATTTGTCAGATAGCTACCAAAAGGAAGCAATAATGATACTTCGCAGTTATGTCTATTTTCACCAAGTGCTATGACAAATCTTTTGAACTCCACAAAATAGCTGTAACATTTTGACTTAGAAACTGTGCAACGGTAATGACTTAGAAAGGTGAGGCTTAGAAAGTTAGTTGGAGGAAGGAATTCCCAAGTGCCAATTTTAGAATAATCTTGGTAGTTGTTCTGCGTTAAGCGGAGAGATGCTTTCCTCTAGAAAATCCCTGCTCTTAGATATCTCCCCAAGAAGCTTCTCTCTCCCCACTGACTAGGTGAGAAGTCTAAGGACATCATCCTCATGAAAATGAGGTCAGTCCTTATGAATCGTGTCCTACAGAGCCCTCCACTGTCATGAACTTATCCGTGCTAACTAATGATGGCTAACATTGGTATGTATGTGCCCACACCATTTTGTCATTTACCTGTCTGGTTACTCTTATCACAGGCTGTTGCTTTCAGTCCCTTTCCCAAACAGGATATTTTCAGGAGAAAACAGGTTTGAATCATCAAGAACGCTGAACACTGAATATGTGTTTGTCCCCCAAAAATCTCACTCCATGTTATGGTAGAAAGATGTTGGTAGAACAGGTTGCATATTTTACTAAAGGAATGGTGGTTAAATAGACACTTTCAGGCTCTGATAATGTCCCTGCACCACCATACATGAGCTTCAAAAGAGAAATAGTCAAGAACGGTCTTGACTCAAGCACATTGCTGCCTTGGTTTCTGTTTCTCATGGGAAGAATGTTGCTGTCGTGGATGCTTACCCAGTTAACATTACATTTTCTTGTCAAGGTAGAAGTTAATTTAAAAAAAAAAAGTACACACAACAAAATACAAGATGGGACCACGTAAGCAATAACAATGCTGATTTAAGAAACTTTTGTTATTTTCAAGGTTCAAAGAGTTCTCTTTCCACTTAAGGAACTTCTTAAGCTTTTCCACAGAGAATAAGCAAAATCCCAGTTCAGTAGTTAACACCTGTTGGCCGTGTAAAAGCAGAGCACAGTCAACACCAGACCAGGTCAGGCGGGATAGGATTTTGTCCTTTTACAGATTATACAAGCCTCTTAAGCACTGATCTAGCAGTTTCTGAGCCTCTTTTTCCCAGTTGTCTTCTCCTTTGAGCCAAGATTAAATTTCTAGCAAAACTGAAGGGTTTGGATTTGTTTTTTTCCAATTGGAAAAGATTTCATTGGAAAATTCCAGAGTAGCTTAACCTTCAGCTATTGGAGGTCAGATATTGTGGTAGTTCAAAGATTGATTTTCTCCATCATATCGTCTGTAATTAGGCTTAATCAATGACTCATACTTAAATACACCAGTGAATTGCATTTTCAAATGCTTTTTATTAATACTGTGTATGCACTAATAGATTTTCAGTGACAGACAGAACATTGCTTCTATAAGAAAACCACATTGGGCAAACCAATACATAATAAGGTAATAGTTTCCTAAACAGAGCCAAATTTGAAAATACACTCCTTTTCCAAATTCTTCAACACTCATATATAATACAACATTCAAAAAAAAAAAAAAAAAAAAAAAAAGAAGAAAAAGGGGGAAAAAAAAGAGAAGAATTTCTCTCCAGGATGCAAGCAAATCCACAACGGAGCTTTTTCCTGATGCAGAGGAAGAAGGGGAGTCATGGCATTAGTCATCAGAGCTTGAAATTCCTTCCAAAAGCTCTGACTACACATCAGCCACAGAAAGAGTCAGGAGATAGAGCTGGCTTTTAGACTGTGACATATTATTATTACCACATAATAATTATCATTATTTTGAGGGAGGCTTGACTGTAAGGAGGACAGAAAGGCAGCAGAAGCTGTGAGAGACCAATAAAAATAGAGCTGAGAGGAACAGATTATATCTCACAGCTGCTTTATTGATATTTATGTTACAACAGCCAACTAGAACTCCCTCAAAATGGTCCTCCTAATATTAATGTACCACTCTAAAACACAGTACTCCAGGTAGTAACAGTGACTACAGATAGCAGGTTTCAAGCCCTCCCAGTGAATTCAGAGCTCCACAACACAATTAACTGATCTCTTCCCCAGGTGCCACTGCACATTTGCTAGGACTCAAAGAGCCACTGCAGAGGAGCTGCTGGTAGTTGCTGATGTGGTAATCAAAGCACTTTCTCTGGAGTCAGCAAGTTTGTCCTGTTTCCCAACCTGAAGTTTTTTGAAGTTTCACCATGTCTTTTTACCTCTCTTTGCAAAGAGTTTAAGTGTCTTGATGCCAAGATTTCTATATGTAAGATGTAAAAGCCAGCAACGGAAAATGAGAACTTGGTGAAAAAGATAATATGCTTATGATGGGTGAGGCTGACTGAATTATGAATGAATCAATAAAAGGTATCCTTTGCTTTAAGGGTCACTGATTCATCTCATGGTCATGTCTTTTTAGGAGTCATTCAATGTTTTCTTCACTTACCTGGCAAGAGGTTGGTGGGTCCCTTTTATGATCTCAAAGGACCTGCGTGTCTTTAGTCCCCCAGCCTCTGACTGGAGAAATCTGTTCAACGAAGCCTTTGCCTTGGACTCCATTTCTCATGTCCTTTCTGCTGACCTGTGAAGTCTGTTCCCTGAGATGTTTACTGTGCATAACTTGAGCTATTAACTATTAGCTATTGCTGTTTTCTGCACTTTACTAACTCTCCATCTCCAGGTCCCTGGGCAGATAATGGGAATGAGCTGCCGACTCACTGCCCTTACTGTGCTGTTCTTAAGTTTTCACAACCACTTACATGAAGCCCTTGATGCCATTGTTAATAAGCATTGAATCAACTTGAATTAGATTTCTCCTTAAGCTTCTGGAGAAAGTAACCAGAGAAGTGACACCAGCTAGTTACCATATCAAAGCCCACAGTATCCAAAGCTTAAAGTTTCCTTTCAGGAATTTTTCTGGCCATAATATAACTCAATATAACCTAGTATTATGCTGCAGACTGGCTGATGGCCAGCATCAATCTATTTTACCTGGCTAGGAAAGAATGTCCCAGGAGGGGACACACTGACAAACTTGTCGCTGTGGTTCTGACAGCCAGTTTCTCACATTTTTGCATGAAAAAAATGGCATCTTTAACAAGACTGATTTGAATATGACTTCAAAAGTGTAAGAGACTGCCATTCCTGTATAGTTTCCATCAGGCTATTAGAGGGGTTTTTTAGGTATGTGATCAACTTAGAACTATTCCAGTACTACTTATAGAAAGACGTTATGGGTACTTCAGTTAGCCCCCTGCATGCCTCAGCAGGGAGGACAGAGCACCCGCACCTCCTGTACCACATCACCGGCACCATCATGCCAGCCTCCTGTTGTCATGATGGCACCAAGCAGCTAATTTTCATAATGACAAACAAAAAGTTCACCATCTAAACTAAAAGCACTTGGAAACAAGACCTTTCAGTTTCATCCTTGGTTTGCTTAAAGAGCCCTCACACTGCCCACAGGATTATCAAGGTAGCTTTCTATTCACGATTTACTTAATCAAATATATGTATTTTACATAAATGCCCATACTACTTAAGAGATAATTACTCTGCTCTCATAGCTTGGGACAGTGACTAACGTCTTCTGGGGCTTCCGCAACCCCAAGCTGGAAGGCACCTGACCTACTGCTCTGTGGAAAAGGCTGGTGTATACATGTGCTAGAGCTCATGTAAAGCTGGCACTAGACCATGAGAGGGGTTTGAGCAAGCTTAGAAAAGCTGAAATCTTAGACTTTTGTTTTACCAGAGCTGTATTCACACACGACTAAACAGGTTTTTTTTTCAAAAGCTTAGATTTTAGCCAAACAAGTTTGGCCTGCAGGAATAGCCCTGCTCACAGCCCTGGTACATAACTCAAAAATTTTCCATCTTTTAAGTTTCCGCACAAGAACACTAACTTTTTTAAATGGGGCTTCTCAAAAACTTATTAACACAATCTAAAAGACATATTTCCTTAGTGTCATGTACAAGAATATGGATGTCTCAATTGTTTTAGAGGGAGTCTTCAACAAAAAAAGTTTATTCGAGAAATTTATGCAGCATGGAAAACATTTCATGTTTTGCAAAGGTATAAGCAACTATAAGGGAAACCAATAGTGTCGACACTAGTACCATCATAAATGCTATAAAAACTCTAACTTACCCGAGAAAATTCCAGCCACCGATACTGAAAACGTCTACTGAGGTTAAATAACCTTGAATAAACCATCCTCCACACCAGATAGTTGGCAAGAGTCCTGTTAAATCAGACATATTTTTATCAGACATCTAAACACACATGATGTACCACAAAGCACTCACAGAAATATGTCTACAAATATTTCAACTGAACAGGAGAAATTTCACCTTGAAAATTGACAAGTGATGACCAAATTGATAAGTCCCTATTACACAGAAGAATCTGTATGATTGCAGCCAGTTAATATGTAATTGCACCGTGATAACCATCTTATAGGAGATATTTATAACGAGTCCATCTCCTAGTATGTCATTTTTAGGTAATACCTTTTTCAAAAGGCCATTTTCATTTTCCATAGAAGTGGCAAGGAGTGTGTCATAATAATAGTTGTGCAAAAGTTCTATCCAGCGATAAGAAAATAACTGATTTTTCTTTTGTAAGTCAAAACTCATCCTTCCTCATTAGTAGGACACATAAATCATAACTACGAAACAGAATAGGTAACAGTCCATCCCATATACAGAATCACGGAATCTTCAGAGTTGGAAGGGACCTCTAGAGATCATCTAGTCCAACTCCCCTGCTAAAGCAGGATTGCCCAGAGCACATTACTCAGGACTGCATCCAGGCAGGTCTTGAAAATCTCTAGAGAAGGGGACTCCACAACCTCCCTGTGCACCCTGTTCCGGTGCTCTGTCGCCCGAACCATAAAGAAGTTTTTCCGTGTATTTGAACAGAACTTCCTATGTTCCAACTTGTGCCCATTGCCCCTCGTCCTGTCACTGGGAACCACCGAGAAGAGTCTGGCTCCATCCTCCTTCAACCCACCCTTTAGATACTTGTAAGCAATAATAAGGTCTTCCCTCAGCCTTCTCTTCTCCAGGCTAAAGAGTCCCAGCCCTCTCAGCCTTTCCTCATAAGGGAGATGCTCCAGTCCCTCAATCATCTTAGTTGTCCTTCACTGGACTCGCTCCAGCAGTTCCCCGTCCCTCTTGAATGGGGGAGCCCAAAACTGGACACAGTATTCCAGTTGTGGCCTCACCAGTGCAGAGCAGAGGGGGACAATGAGCTCCCTCAACCTACTGGACACACTCTTCCCTATGCAGCCCAGGATTTCATTGGCCTTTTTGGCAACAAGGGCACATTGCTGGCTCATGGATAATTTACTGTCTGCCAGAACCCCCAGATCCTTCTCCTCAGAACTGCTTCCCAGCAGGTCCACCCCCAACCTATACTGGTGCTTAGCATTTTTCCTCCCCAGATGCAGGACCTTCCCTTGCTCTTGTTGAACCTCATTAGGTTCTTCTCTGCCCAACTCTCCAGCCTGTCCAGGTCATGCTGGATGGCAGCGTGGCCCTCTGGAGAGTCAGCCACCCCTCCCAGTTTGGTATCATCAACAAACTTGCTGAGGATACACTCTGTCCCCTCATCCAGGTCATTAATGAATATATTGAACAAAATTGGACCTAGTATTGACCCCTGGGGGACACCACTGGTTACAGGCCTCCAACTAGACTCTGTGCCACTGATCACAACCCTATACACTATCATTGTCTCATATTTGTACCTTTCATGAGAAGTTATCAATATGGTTTTAAAAGTTCTTACTACCCACAGAGTTCTTAAAGTATTACTACTCTTATTTTGCTGATGGATAATTGAAATACCAAAAAAGAGAAGCCTCAGTAACAAGAATGTCATAAGAACTGAAGCTGAGATATCCAGGAAGAACTTGTTCAAAATTTCCAGGAGACCTGACATCCATGCCCCTTTTCTAAAACTTCAAGCACTTGACTGGAGGATTTAACTAGTCTAGACTGAGATCTCTCCATGCCCAGCAGTGGCTGTAAGAGGTAAAGGTGCATTGTGAAATACACAATTCAACTTCAAACAGTCTCAAAACAAGTCCAATAATGGTCTACACGTATTATTCTCATCTTGTCTTATACATTACATTTTTCAAGGATAGTCATTGCTCTAAAGTTGTGGATATCCAAATGTTGTTTGCTCTACAATGGGATATGCGTAACATTTTGGGCAGGCCACAGATTTCTCCTTAGGGAGGAAAACTGATCCTTTGCAACGGAAGATGCTGTTATGGACTGTTTGAACAACTCCCTCACCTCTAAAAATCCCATTTCTGCAATCTCTCATTGCCATAGGTGTGGAGCAGTGTAGCTGTTGCTACAGTGTCACTTCATTAGCTTCATTCATGGACACTTCCCATACTGCCCCCTCCTCCGAACCATAACAGGTTATAAACACACTTTGTGGGCATGTTATCTTCACAGCAGCATTTGCCTGAGCCATAACTTGCGTTTTGTCTCTAACCAAGCTCCAGTCCAGCCACACAAAGCCTTCAGCTCAAGATAAGTTGTTGCTGGAAGCTTACGCTCTTGGTCCCTCAGTCAGGTAGGTGAGAATGAGGTGAGAATGGAGAGGTTTAAGGCAAACTATAGCTACATATTGTCTATTAGTGACTGAGCCCAGGGTAACCCAGTAACTCCAGCAGAGCCACGTATTCAAGTGGGACACTACACTAAAAGCAGATGGGTGGCTGTGCACCCTCCGCAGGCTGGCTGAGCCCTGCACTGGGGACCAGTCTGGTCAGGCACAGCGGCCAGAGGCCAGGGAAGGCAGGTGCTCTGCAGTGCCACCGGATTTGGCTGTCCCTGCAGGCTGCTCCAGCTGAACTGAAGCTAGCACAAATGTGACAAGAGTGCATACTCACATGAACCTGTACAGCAGCTGTGCACCCATGACAGCCTGGGCAAAGCCTGGTTTACTCATCAGTTAAGTCTGCACACGCTTATAGGTCAGAAATATGGTCAACTCATTTCACACAGGAAAACTTGAGGGTACAGCCTCAAGCTAACTGATACTAGTCTTTGTGGCCAGTGGCAATTTCTACAGGAGAGTAGAGAATCACTATGATTTATAAGTCCTGCCTTTTATATTCCTCCTCATCTCTCATACTAGGAATATTCCCTCTTTTAGTATACAGATATATCATATAGTACACATAAATCCTCACAATAATCATAAAACATATCTAAAAAAGCTTTTCAGCATGAATAATGTACATTTATAACACAGTACACGTTCAAAAGCCAAAACAGTTAGCTCTGCTTAGATGATCAAACCATTTTGAGATAATGCTTAGGGTCATTAAAAATTCATTCCAACCTAAGAAATACCAGAAAATAAAGATTTTTCCCTTAACACATTTCTGACAATGTGGAATTTCCTCATTCAATGGCAACTGAAGCACCCTAAAAGTGCTCAGCCCTCACCGGTTTTGTAAATGACTCAAAATCCACAAGCCTCGCAACTATCTGCCTCAGCAGAGCTGAATAGCATCCATGCTCCTGCATGCTCTGTGGATCTAAAACAGTGTTTATGCAACTCCTACAGATTAAAAGGTTTAAAGATTTAATTTCAATCAAAAGTCTTAGGTAAAAACCTCAGCTAAATAGACCGCTATCATAAACCAATTATGTGTTACAATTCAGTACTTAATTGCTACCAAAAAATCAATTCTCCGTTCTGTGTGCTTCTTGTTCTCATCCAGCAGTGCTTGTCCTCACATTTGAGTTGAGGAACCTCTGTCAAATTGGTAGTGAATGAAAGACTGAAATTTGTAAAGGATGAGTCTCAAAGAGGTGACTTCTTCAAAGACACTAGTATCAACTGGAATTCAAAAAACTTATTTATCAGGCATTAGTAATGAAGGCAGTTGTCAGTTTCAGGAAATGCCCCACAATTAATTGAGGTTTGTTTTAATTTGGAAAGGAAAGGCTGACAAGTCCTAAAACCAAGCTGTCTGATGAGATTGTAATAATTCCTGATTGTATAGAATCCACTGATGCATAAACCAACAGGAAGGTTTCACTTCAAAGCCCAGAGGCTGGGCAGGGAGGTTCTTTATTTTGTTTTTCAAAACAAAACAAAATCATATTTTATCTGAATTTGTTTACTTATTTTGGGGGATAATCATTTTACCTTTTTGGCTAATTATACAAACTTAACATCAATTGGTCATTTTCATTTGGTTTAAAAACTAACACTTTTTGGTTATGAAATGCCTCCAGTGCATATCTTGGAGTGATTTTCATCCCAGTTTCACAAATAAGTTCAATGAGGCTCAGAGAGGTTAACCCCTTCACATGGAGCAAAATCCAACACACAAATAAAACACACAAATTCTCTCTGCTCTTTCAATGGGCCCAGAGCATTTGTTGTTGTAACCTTTCAGAAGAGTACAGTACATAGTCCCCTATTTTAAGTTCAAAGCGACTGTTACAGAAAGAAGTGTAGGCTCGCTCTTAACCAATATGACCGTTATGGTGATACACACTCCCAAAGGAAGTGGTAAAGAGCTTGTTTGCTGGGACAGTTAAAATTATACCAGTGCTTATGAATATCTACTAAGGAACTCTCTACTCTGTCTGGGAATAAAGTAGGTTGCTCATTTAAAATTCTGTGAGTTTGTAATATTTTAATCAACAGACACAGTGGCAATTAAAGAGGACAGATTTAATATGAGATAGATGGACAAATTAATTGACATTTTAAGAAAAAGATCCCTTTCACAAATGTTGAGATCTGTTTGAAAACTGTATTCAGAATTGAGTCATGGATCAAATTATAAGTACTGAAAAACTTCTGCCTCTATTGCTAGAGGCATTCATTCAAGTCAAATTATTGTGACTTCTCTAATTTTTCAGAGGCAGGCTAAGACTAGAAAGGAGGTCCAGTGCCCCCAACCCTCTCTAAAGAAAATTCCTCTTATGCTGCAGGAATTACAGACTACTTCTCTATTAATTGTCCCATACTGCAAAGATGGGGTCAGATAAGGCAAAGGAAACCAGTTATTCATTCTGACATCCATGAGAACAATAAAGCCGCTTCCTTCAACAGCTGCAAACCTCCAACAAAGACACAATTTATTGTATCCTATTTATGGTTCACACATAAAGCACCAGCACAGAGGTAACAGGGAATGGATAATAAGGGGCTCCTAACTTCCGCCCCCATAGTCCCATCTCCCCACCACATACAGCACAGCTGTATTGGAACTCTGTCATTATCTCATTTATACCACAGCTACATCTATGTTTTCAACATACAACTCTTCTTCCTGTAATAGATGTAAACTCCATTAAAAATTAGTGGGGACACTACAAAAGTGAAGGAATCCCTGAAGATGTCTTACAACGAAGGTGTGACTTCAGGTTCAGCACTGAACACCTGACATGACTTAGGCTAGCTGACCCAGGGCTGATGGAGACTCCTGCAGGCGAGTTACTCGGCTTCTTGGCAGCTTGCTGCAGAGCACCAGCATTGCCCTGGCACGGGAATTTCAGACCTCCGAACCACACCACTGCACATGTTTCAAGCCCCACACAGTAACTTGATTATAGGCAGCAGAGTTAACAAGTAAACAACAGCCTAATTCTACTAAATTCACTCCAGCCTACCAGCTATTTTCTTG